TGCTGGCCAAGGGAAGACTGCCTAAGCACGTTTTGGGCACAAACTGGGTGCACTCGGGTACCCAGGGGCCATGGGGAGGAGCGTGGTCAGGCCACTCAGGCACTCACACAGCTCCTACACAGAGGTACACCCTCCTTGGAGTGGTCAGTGATCTTGTCAGGGACAGAAAAGTTCAATGACTACAAGGGTGAGTTTAATTATATGTTGTCGCTGACTAGCAGTGGTGACGATGGTACAATTACACATGTAATTTATCAGCAAGATACTTACATACATAATAAACCAAAAGCAAAACATTAAATTTGAGTGGAAGCTAAAAATATAAAACTGAGCCACGATGCAGAGCAGACTTACTTGCAAGGGGATGGAAGAACAAAACCATGGGTGTCCATCCCCTCCCTTCCAGGAGCAGGCTGCTCCCTCCCACTATGACCATGTGGCTCTCATCCCAGGAATGCACTCCCCAAACACCAAATAAATCCCCAATCCTCGGTGGTATGTCAACAGTGCTCCTTCACAAAGAGAACAGGATGGAGAAATTGGCTTTAGAAACTCACCACCCTTTCTGATGTCCTCTGAACTTGCTAACCAGAGTCCCCAGGGCTTCTGGGGAGACCACATGCTTGGCAACATCTTGGGGTTCCTAGCCTGGTACAAGCCTTGAGGGGGGAGCTAATTATCTGAAAATGGTCTATATTTTCATTAGGCTTGAATAAAAATGGAGAAAATGAAAAAAGATGACTAAACAGAGAAAATGAAACTAATAACAGTGACACGCTTTTATTAAATGCCTGCTTAGAGCCAGGCAGTGTTTTCAATGCATCACACAGTGTAATCGATTGCACTGTCATTATTGTTACTCCCAAATTACAGAAGAAAAAACTGAGATGTAAGTACCTAGATACATGATTGTGTAGCTTGTGAGCACTGGAGCCTGGCTTCCAACCCAGAGAAATCTGGTTCCAGAGCCTGTATGTTTACTATAGGTCTCCAGATTAGAGTGAGTGGCAGCTAATTTATTTCTCCCTCTTCCTTATTATTTTCTCACTGGTACTGCTGTGATGTCCACTGGGCAATAATTTGAAAGTCAAGGATGCAGTGACTTGGGCCATCTCCATCACTGAGACTAAGTGTCCTAATAAATGAGTACATTGCACACATCATGCCTAGGTTTGGGAATTCCACTCCTTGGAGTGTTCTCCTGTCTCCTGACAGAAGCTGTCCCCAAATAGCTGAGTAGTGACCATTCCAAAAAGATCAAGCATGACAAGTTTGAAAGGGACATACTCTAAATACATGCAATACACTGTAAAATACAGTCTAGCCAGAAGACAGATGTACAGTATGGTCAGGTAGACAGAAGGTCTTCTAAGCCTCATGAATTCCTCATCCATGTTCTGCTTTGAAAGAAGTCATCTTCTCCCACTCTGCTTTTATGTCCACAGTCCCAGTCATCTATGTATGTGCCCTTAAGATTTTTTAATGTATTTTTACAATACCATCTTCTTCCACTTACGTGGATTGTCTAACACAGTCTCAGATATTTTTTTCTATTATAAAAAATGGGACTGAAAAGAGATAAAGAGAATGTCTTCCTATAACTGACCATTTTGAAGTTAAAAAAATGTTTTGGAGACCAAGGAGTAAAGAAATAGTAAAGGTGGTATTTAAATTATACCATGGGGCCTACTATTCTAAGATTTATAGTATGACTTGAGATAGAGTTCCCTCTGTCCACCCATAAAATCGCCCATCCATCCATCCACCACCTCTCCACCCATGCATCCATCTACCCAACCACCACCTTATCCATCCATCCATCCATCAACCCACCCATCCATTTGTTCATCTATCTCCTCATCCACACAAGCATCTGCCCATTCAACTACCCATCCATCCATCCTTCCATCCAGCCACTCATCCAACCACACTATCCATTCATCTACCCACCAGCTATCTAGCCATTCACCCACTTAGCCATCCACTCACTATTTATTGAGAGTCTGCTATGCATCAGCACCATTCCAAGAACTAGGAGAATAACACTGAACAAAACACAAAAGGCTTTTACCCTCACCAGGCTTACACTACAATAGGGGAGAGAGACCAAAAATGAGTAAAAAGGAGTGGGTCACCGAAACGCTTCCTGTACCAAACATCACAACATATTTGAAACCTTCCTAATGCAAAGGTAAATTAGATCTATTTGCTCATTTGTTGTTATCATCAAAGATCAGTTGTAAAAGCAAACAAGTGTGTCTCATATGGAAAATGTTAATCGTACAAAAATGTATTCCAATGTGGAAGAATCATCTGAGAGTAAATACTTCTGGAAATATTTTTATGACAAAAGCTTTTATTTCTCATCTTCTCTATCTTTGATTTAAATATATACATGTATGTGGGTGCACATGTATTGACTCAAGTATTTCAATATAAATTTTGTATTCAAAATACTTTTCCTGATTTCAGTTGATTGCATATTTTGAGCCAATGTTGCAGCAGTAATTTTTGTTCTGAATCAAAAACAAGGCGATTCTCTCTCTCTCTCCCTCTCCTTCTCTCTCTCCCTCTCTCTCTCCCTCCCTCTCTCTCTCTGTCTCTCTCTCCTTGCCATACTTAATGACCCCTGCTTCTTCCCCCACATACCCTCTAACCCTAAGGAGCCCAAATATTCAAGCTACTTTCAGAGCAGAGTGGTATCAAGGGCAAAACCTGTTTCTTCTCATTTATTTTTCTGCTGAAGGTTTCTGAAGCTGTGGGGGCTGAGGCAGGGGCTAAAGCCACATCATCACAAAGGCACCAGGATAGAAGGACAAACCTTCCCACTTCGATTTGAGTGTGTGTTATTGTTTGAGTACATCTCCCCAGCACTACAATAATGTCTGCCTTGGTTGGCACAGATTTTAAAGCCCTTTGAAAAGGTGGAATGTTATCAATCATGAGCATGATTATAATAGGATTTAAGTGGAAGAAGCTAAGATTCAGGCCTTCACGCGGGCCAGACTCTATGGCAGAGGAGGGGGGAAGAGTGAAGCAAAAGGATTGTATTTGAACTAAGAGAAGGAAGAAGTGTGTACCATCATCCACACTTCCTCTTTCCTGAAGGAGTACCAGGAAACTCTGGAACTCTGATGAAAGTTCTCCCACATTCTGAAATACCTGCTTGTGTTTTTATCACATAGTGGTTCTCAAGCAAGTGCAGCCTGGGCCTCCCAGGGAACATTTGGTGATTTCCAAGGACATGTTAGTTGTCACAATGGGGGAAAGGAGTATTTTCCTGGCATCTAGTGCTAAAGGCCAAGGAAGCTATTAAGCATCCTGCAATATACAGCACAGTTTCCTCAAGCAAAGATCTAACCAGCCCCAAATGTCAATCCTGCGAAGCCTGAGAAACCCCACATCAGACCTGGATCACTGGAGGCACCAACACGGGAGAAAGGAAAGCACAGGTCAGAGAAAAGCATTTCTGGGAAAGTGGTCTGACACTGCTTCCACTGGCTCTGCCACACCCCCTGTCTGCCAGCAGATTCAAGCAGGTGACAGAAGAGAAGACACAACGGGAGAGAAGAGAAAAGCATCTTTGAGGCAAATTATTTACTCTTTCCCTTTTGGTCTAAAAACACACCTTCTTTATTGTATATCAGAAGGGATTGGAAACCCCTTTTTTTTCTCCAAGGCTAAACAAGCCTGGCCCAACAAAAACAAAATAATCTTCCTGGCAGATCACTGGGGCTGTCAGACCTCTCGCCTGGCAAATCACAACGGTGCCTTACAGATGTAGAATTCACCCATCAAGCCCAATCACATGCCGGGATTACTAAGGCAAAGAATTGTGAATTTCATTAAATATGTTAAAGGGGAAAAATCAGCTTTGAAAAATAGTAATCCTGTCTTTCAACAAAAATATTATAGGAAGCTATGAATTTGGTAGATCCGAATAGGATGTTGGTACATGTTTTACTAAGGTAATATAATGGCACACTATTATTAGATCACATTAATCATTACTGTGCCAACGGCACTGACAGCCGCACTGAAAAGGATTGAAAGGCCTGGTAATGGATATAAATTACCCATTGTGTGATAAAAGGATTTTTACTAAGAAGGTAAGAATAAAACAGCAAATTTCTAATATAACTGTTGTGTAAAAACCAAAATAAAAGTAATCCACGGTCAGTAAGATCCACAAAATCAGAAGTAAGCACTTTTCCGACAAGATAAAGTCACAATAAAAAATATATATTCAGTACAATGTAAAATTAATTTTGGAGTGCATAATTCCACTATCAATTTCCCTGGTTTATGTAGTGACCTGAGAGACCCATGGTCAAGAGAAGGTGGGCTCTGCTAATTAGATCTGAGGGTGAGTTAGTTCACCGAGAGATCGGGCAGTCCACGTGGCCACCACAGGTATCAAGTGCATGCGCTGCTCTTTCTTCTGTATTTTATTTTCAGTTGTCATCGGCTCCTATGGTGGAACCCAGTCCATCACTGACTTCCTGATCTTGAGTCTGACTGAGATGGCAAACATGTGTCCCCCCAGCACTGGGCGGCCCAATGAGTCACATGGCAAGTGATAGAGGAATGGAGGGCAGGTGGCCCTTACATAGAGTCACGTGACTCCCAGCAGCCTCATCGGCTGGGCTTCCAGGCAGTTGGCTGGTGGACAGCAACTCAGGATGTGACACAGAAGCCACCATCATGGAGCTTTGCCCTACTGGTGGCCCCGTTCTGAGCCTCAGGAACAGGTCTCAACATCACATGTCCATCCCGCCTGGAACCTGTGCTACTCCCCTGAAACCTCTGAGTCTGGAAGTTTCTCTGCAGCCCACTCAGCCCTGAGAGTAAAAGGGGGTACCTGATAGATCAGACTCTCATTCAGCACAGGACCCTGGAATCCCCCAGAAAGCAGCCTGAATTCCCTGCTCTCCAGCCCCCAGACTCACGGACAGACACTACTTCAATAAGTTACAAAGCCACAATGCGAGGGTCCTTACCAGACAAGTCTTAAACCAATGCAGCTCCCTCCTGGGTGAAGAATATTCTTAAAGCCGTGGTGGTCAGGAACTGCAAAAATAAGACCTGTTAGAAATTCTAAATGTCAAACATATAGACATCCCTAAGACCCATAAACAGCATTTGTTGAGGTAATGATTTCCTGGGTTAGTGTAGAGCCTAAAAATATTAAATAGCCCCCAAGGCCCCAGTTCTTTGAGATATTCACAAAATAGGAATTGTGTGACCTTTGATGCAATGAGACAAATTTGCTCAGGCTCTTTTCAGAGGGACATTGCCACCTGCCCAAAAAGGGAGGAGGCCTTCTAACTGTCTTTTCCCTAGATGGGACAGGAGAATAAAAGAAGAGAAACAAGGCTCGCTAGCTCACTCTCCCTATTCCTTGGAACTCTGAAAGGGAGGAGCTATGGAAGTACAGATGGGTCCTTGTTTTCTCCCTGACTTACAGAGCTCCCTGCAGTAGCTCGAAATTCCACCCAAATTTCAATGGGCCGAGCCTATGCAGTGGCCGGGGAAAGTACTGAATGGATCCAAAACAGGAATCTGTAACTGACCAGCTTAGGGATATTGAGTTTGCCATCAAAAGTCCTCCCTCCTGACCAAGACCAGGAAAGCGTCTGCCAGTTAAATTTTCTACTTTTCTGCTTTGTGCTGTAAATGAAATCAGTCCCACGTAGATGATCTCATCTCCCAGGGCCCTTGAGGGTGCAGTAAGGCCCCACAGGAGACCTGGAACACTTGTCCACAGCAGCTCCACAGCCCTCAGCTGGGTGGTCAAAGCCAACCAAAGCCTGTGATCTCCAGCCCACTCCTCATCTGGTGCACGCCGCAGCCTAATTTCTTTTGCCATCTTATAGAAGAGATTTTGTGGGGCATGCAAAGTCCTTTCTTCCTAGGTTGTGTTTTACTGAAGCTGAAGTTGTACATTTGGATTAGAGAACCGGAATTCTGCGGTGGGGTCAAGGACGCTGACCTGCACTTGGAGGACCTGTGGTGGCAGCCCGAGCCCACGAAGTTTACACAGCGAACTGCTGGTTTGGGAAACACTCCATCCAACTCTAAGACTGATTTCTGGCAACCAAAAAGGTGTTAGCTGACTGCATTCTAGAAGTGTTTTCTCAAAGTCCCACAAGGATGCTACTCTTTGTAAAGAAATTTCCACCTGCCTATCTTGAGACATAAAGCAAAAGTTTTTATCTCAAACTACTCTGCAGTAAGGAACAAAATTGCAAGTCTCTCTCTCTCTCTCTCTCTCTCTCTCTCTCTCTCTCTCTCTCTCTCTCTCTCTTCTCCTGTCTTTCTCTTTCCCCTAATCAGGTTATCTTTTGCATTTTTATTTTCTCTGTATCATGAAAATCTAAAGAACGAAAAGCAAATACTCCACATTACACTCTGTGAGGTTCCATCTCAACGCTGAGCAGAACAGGTCCCCAGCCACCAGCTGGCTCTAAAAAGATTTATCTGCTTTGCTCCCAATATTCCTGATATTTAGGGGGGAGTGCAGGAGTGGGGGGCACAGGCTACAGTGTTATATCCAGGCTCACGGCTTGCAGGATGATTCTCTAGGGGCTGTTCACTTAGAAGCTTTGTAAATCCTCACGACAGGAGAACACAGGGAAGGTGTCTACACCCCAACCCGGGAAGTCCCACACCAGTTTGTCCTCCGGCACCCTGCCACAGATCAGGACATCACCCACCATCTCTACACCCTGGCTATAATGCAGCAAATCCTCATACCCTAAATCAAGAAAGGCCCAGCATCAGCCCCATAGCTGTGCTCTCCGGACTGCTCAGGGGTTCCCCAAAGGCAGCGGACCCATGGCCAGGGCAAGGCCAGCCCAACATTTGCAGGAAGCCACTGAATGAGGCCACACTGGAACCTTGGTAAAGGAAATTGAGTTAGTTCCATTGGTGCCTTTCTGAGCCTGTCTAACTAGGAGGAGCTCCAGATGTCTGATGTCGTTAGAGTCACTGCAGGTTGGGGAAAGGTGACAACATCAGACCTCTGATGCTGTCGGGATTCAGGGCAGAGAGAAAGGAAAATGCCAGTACAGTAATTCTGTCTTCCTCAATGAAAGAAACAGCTCTTTCAGAGCAAGTAAGTGACTCACATTTAGAGATAACACAATCAGGGGCATCAGCCAAAGCTAGTCCCAGACACGAGCACTCCCATCACCCCTGCCTCCCAAGGGGACCCCATGCTAAGGGGACACAGGAAAGAAAGGACACCAGGGAGATGGTGCCCTGGTGCAACTACCACCAGATCAGAGGAGGGAGGCAGGGAGCAGATGCAAAGGCAGCAGAAAGCGGGTGTGAGTCAATGGGTGTGGGTGGATAGCAATCGCCTTGCCGAAAGAGATTACTTTCGTGCAGGAAATCCCACCCACTATAAAGCGATAACCCAGGTTTCTCCTCCTTTAAAGCACAGACGCGGCACATGCACAGCTGTCCTCAGCCGCGAGCACCTGAGTGTGATGAGTACAGGTGACTCAGGCTCTCCGCCCAGCATGTGGCCTCCCCTCCAGCGGGCAGAGGTGCCCGCACCAGGCCAGCCTTGGTTCTGCGTTCTGCAGGGCCACCCAGTGAGCAAGGCTGGAAGTGGAGGTGCAGAGCTCCCAGGGTGGGCTGTGTGGCTGCACTGTGGGTGCCCTGTGTGCCAGGGAAGGCCAGCGTTGCCGTGTCTCCGTCTGTGCCTCCACATCTTCCTGCCTCCCCTGCCCCCTCCCCTTCAAAGTTTCTCTCTCCCAGCTTTCCATCCCTTCTTCTCCTCTCCCCTTCCTTGGAGGGGCCTAAGAAAATCTGGGCCCTAAGAAGGCCCTCTTCTCCTCCCCTTGCCCCAGTGCGGGAGCTCCCTGCCCTACCCCACCCAAGATTCACTCTGGAAAGAGGCATTCAGGACCTGTCCTCTCTCCCGCTTCTCCAGGCCGCAGCCCCTCTGTGCTTCCTCCTAGAACCCAGTCCCCTCTCAAGGCCAGATCCACCAGCCTTCCCCATCCCTTGCTGACAGCCCTACCTCCTCCAGAGCCCAGGGCTCCTGGCGCCTTGCCTTTGAAAGCAACCTTGGCCAGCCCTGTGCAGCCAACCAGGCTGGTCACAGCATGAGGAGTCTCTGTTCCCCACAGTAGCCCTGATGCCCCCAAGCCTACCATGGAGCCCTGCTGCAGAGGTGGGATGCTCCTGCTGTCACCTGGGCCCTCTGTAATGAGCCTGCATCGAATCCACAAAGCTGTCCTCTAGGCAACATGCTGTCTCCACGTGGCCCCCTGTCCCTCGTGCCACACCATGGCAACTTGAAGGCCTTAACAGTGACAGTAAGTTAGTCTCACTAAGAGCCTGCCAAGCACCAGGTGCCACACTGTGTGACCTGGGCTGTGCTGGGTTCCCCACACCTAATCCAATAGCTCTGACAGGGGAGGATGCAGGAACCATGGGATAGGGAGGGAGGGAGGGAGGGAGGGAGGGAGGGAGGGAGGAGAGGATGTGAGGGAGGGAGGGAGCAGGCTGGGCAAACAAAAGGTAGATGGGAGTGTGGGAGGTAAAGACAGAAAGAGAGAGAGAGGATGGAAGAAGAGGAAAGATGGGCACTACCTGATGGAAGAAAGAAAGGGAAAGAGGGTAGAAGGAAGGGAGGGAGGGTGGGAAGGTGCAGACAGGGCTGGGAGGTGGGAGGGGAAAGGCTGGCTCCACCCACCCCTCCCGAGTCCTATCCTCCACACCCCCTTGTCACTGTGTTCCATCCACTCAGGATGCTGTCCCATGGAGGCAGGTTTGGTGGAGGACCACCTTTCCCTGGGGGCACTTAGGGAGCAAGCACAGTCACAGAGGAGTGCGGGACAGTGCAGAAGTGAGGACCCAGGGACGCTGCTTCCCTTCCAGAAGAGTCTGGCAAGAAAGGGTCTAAGAAAGAGCCAGACAGCTGCCTTTAGCCCTCTGCCCAAAGAAGGGTGAGTGGACAGCCCCAGAGGGGAGACACTGCCTGGGGGCCAGCGACCTCCAAGCCTGCAGACCCAGCGATGCCTCTGAGCTCTACTAAAATGCAGGCTGTCTTCGAACCCCTGCACCCCTAGGGGCTGCACTGTCCCTCCCAAGGGACTGAGTCCCTCTTGCAACCCAGAGCTCAGTGTCCTCGGGTCAACTGGGAACAAGGGACCTGCCAAAAATGACACCACCTCAAAATGGATTTGGAAGTTCTGCTCCCAACCAGGGTGACTCTCTTGGCCTCAAGGAACTCTGGGAGATGAACATAGACGCAAATGGCACAGTCACTGTCCCTCAGAGATCCCAACAGGAGAGGCTCCTGGTGAGAAAAGCTTCCTGGGAAAGAAGCCCCTAGGGATTAGCCGCTCATCCTACCATTGACCATCACATGCCTCCTGGGCTCACATCTTTATTCCGGGGACCTACTGATTAAAAAGAATACATGACTCCCCGTGTGGAGTTTATGACTTAGTGAGCAGATTCAGGCAAAAAGCAAGTGTAAGTAAAATAGGTCCACACAAAAAAAATGAAGCTGAAGAAAATGACTGTGACAGAGGCCAACAGAGACCTCTCTAAGAAAGTGACATCTGACAAAACACCTGAATAAAGTAAGGGTGTGAGCCCTGTAAAATTCTGGGGGAGAATTTGACAAGAACAAATTGTTAGTGCAAAGGCCCTGGGGTCAGAAGGAGCTGGAGCATTCAAGGAGCAGCAAGACATTCTGTGTGGCTGGGTACAGATAGTGAGATGGAGAAGGGGTGAAGATGGGCCATTTAGGAGCCACGTACCGTGGCAGACATGGTAAGGAAACTGGATTTTATCGCAGGCCACGAACTGGTTTTGAACAAGGGATACCAGGATCTGAGTAGCACTGTGTCTGCTGTGCGGCCAAGAGGCCAGAGGGACCAGCACAAGGCCAGAGAGGCCCCTGGAAGGCTGCTTCCCCTGCACAGGGGAGTGAGGGGCAGAACACCAGGAGCAAGAACCCAGAGTCACCCTGTGCTCACCCAGAGCAGGACCTAGGGGACACAGGGTGCCAGCTCCCCAGAGCCAGCCCCACCCAGAGCTTAGAC